ACTAGAAAGGATGATTGGCCTGGGCCCTGACAGCCTGAAGGACACTCTTCACTTCTTCTCCAGAGAACTCACTGGGGAGTGTGATCAGAGGAGAGGGCCAGGTTCCCTTAGGCTCCTATGAGGAGAGTAGAGACTGCAGGAAGCCAGTGAACTACGTGGTGACAGGTCAGATGGGTCGCTGTAGGCAGGAGTTGGGTAGGTGAGAAGGTGAGACTCCCAACACTGCCCCTGGGCTAGACATCAGTTGACAGGAAGGGAAGGTGGTCCTCAGGTTTGCTGAGCAACTGAAGGTAATTGCATGCTTGGCAGAAGTGGGGTCCTTGTGCAGCGAGTGGATCGGAAGACCCTTCAGATGTCCCTGGGCTGCTGGACCTGTGCATGTAGATAGCACAGTGCAGTTCAGGCTAGAGGTGCAAACCTGAAGGTCTGGGAGATAGGAGAATGAGGTCGGACAGGCCTAGGGGCTGCATCAGTTTGCTATGCAGAAACCATAGAGGTGCCAGAGGGTATGAGTACCATGAGGGTTTGTCCTAGAAACAAAAGACAGCACTGAAGGGTTTTAGAAGGAGAAAGCATTGCTTTAGGCAAGGGAGTTGAGAACTCAGTGGAGTCCTGAATTCTAGAAGCCATGGTAGCCCTTGACAGCACATGGGCCCAGAAGTATTGTTTCAGGGCAAATATGCAGCTTGGCCTCTGGGGCCCTGCTTCATCCAAGCAGGGTTCCCCCAGCCCAGTGGCTGTTCCCGTCCCTGTCCTGCTCATGAAATCCTGCTCTCCCTTTCCTCCCAATACCCCCAGACTGGTGCTTGACTGGGGTGAGTCAGGGCTCTCCTGTCATCTGGGCCCCCTCCGGGCTCTGGGAGGCCGCCACTGGAGCCCTGCCTCTTCCTGGCAGGGAGCATCGAGTACAGCTGTCCGGCCTCCAATGAGTGTGAGATCACCAAGCGGAGACGCAAGGCCTGTCAGGCCTGCCGCTTCACCAAGTGCCTGCGGGTGGGCATGCTCAAGGAGGGTGAGCGCTGGGCAGAGCCTGGGTGAGATGGGGGTGGTCCAGTGGGTTGGGTGGGAGCCCGGGGAGAAGGTGGGGAAGTAGGGCTCTGTGGAGCAAGCACTTCATCAAGTCTGGCTTTACGACTCAAGGTGTGCGTCTGGACCGTGTCCGCGGAGGGCGACAGAAGTACAAGCGGCGGCCAGAGGTGGACCCTTTGCCTTTCCCAGGCCCTTTCCCTGCCGGTCCTCTGGCAGTAGCTGGAGGACCCCGGAAGACAGGTGAGATGCGGGGTTCCTAAGCTTTGGAGAGGAGGCAGCCATTACAGGTCTGTCTGGTTTCCTCACTTGCCCTGAGACCCATGTCTTACTTTTCTCATTTCTCCCTAAGAGATAACTATAAAATAATCTCCACAAACAGAGGCTGTAGCTCAGTAAAGTGCTTGCCTACCATGTATGAAACCCTGGGTTTGATCTTTAGCACCCCATACACCATGCACACTTTAATTCCATATTCAGGAGGCAAAACAGGATTAGGAGTTTAGGGTCATAGGTGGCTGTATAGTACATTCAAGGACAATAAACTACGTCACAGGCCAGACACCCAAGTAGAATCGTGATCAGGATGGGGGTGTCTTAGGGTTTCTGTTGCAGTGATAAAACACCATGACCAAAAGAAACTTGGGAGAAAAGGTTTCTTTCAGCTCACAACTCTCAGGTTGCACTCCCTTGCTGGGGGAAGTCATGGCAGGGACTCAAGGCAGAAGCTGATATAGAGGCCGTGGAGGAACACTACTTACTGGTTTAATCCTCTCGGCCTGCTCAGGCCTGCTTTGTTGTACACAGGCCCACCTGCCCAGGAATGACACAAGCCACAGTAGATAGGGCCCTTCCACCTCAATCAGCAAACAAGAAAATCCTAGAGTCTTGCTACAGGCCAACCTTATCGAGGCATTTTCTCAAAATTTCCTCTTCCACATATACGTGTGTGTATCAAGTTGGGCGTTTTCTTTTTTGTAAAGGTGTTGGGGGAACCAGGGCTCACTAAATGCTAGACTGGGGTGTCTGAAAGCTACCCCCAAGCCTTCGGTCAATTTTCTAGTGCTCACAGCCCTTCTCTAAGGAAGTGAACACTGTCTTCTGGCTTACTATTGGAGTCCAAGGAAGGCCAGAGGGGAATGTCTGGGAAGGAACATTGCTCTGAGGGCCTTCTGAGGTCTGCCAGATGTGTTCATGACTCTAGTCCTCACCTGTCACTGTAGCCCCAGTGAACGCTCTGGTGTCTCATCTGCTGGTGGTTGAACCTGAGAAGCTGTATGCCATGCCTGACCCAGCAAGCCCTGATGGACACCTCCCTGCCGTGGCCACTCTCTGTGATCTTTTTGATCGAGAGATAGTGGTCACCATCAGCTGGGCCAAGAGCATCCCAGGTAAAGGGCCAGTGGTTGAGCATCCTTAAACAGGTAGACCATATTTGGCCCCGCTGCCTTCTTGATCTATCCTGTTTCCCCTGCCCTCCAGGCTTCTCCTCACTGTCACTGTCTGACCAGATGTCAGTACTGCAGAGTGTGTGGATGGAGGTGCTGGTGCTGGGTGTGGCCCAGCGCTCACTGCCTCTGCAGGACGAGCTGGCCTTTGCTGAAGACCTGGTCCTGGATGAAGAGGGGGCACGGGCAGCTGGTCTGGGGGATCTGGGGGCAGCCCTGCTGCAGCTGGTCCGGCGACTGCAAGCCCTACGGCTGGAGCGCGAGGAGTACGTCCTGCTGAAAGCTCTGGCCCTTGCCAATTCTGGTGAGTGTTCAGGGAAAACACACACAGGTCTCCCCATAAGGTCCACCAACTGTCAATGATGGTGGTATGTTTCTTTGTTGTGGATAAGGACAACAGAGGCTTAATTATTGAAAATCACCAAGTAAGCCAAGGTCCTGAATTATATGTAGGATTCTGAGCCCTAGTGGTGTAGTGGCAAAGCACTAGTGAGAGGGGAAGTATGGAGGTTGAGAGATGGCCACAGGTGAGAAAGGGTGGACCCTGGCTCTCAGGCAGAGTAACAAGTGCATTACCCGACCCAGAGATTCCAAAGCTGAGTGCCGCCCTTCAGTCATCTCAGCCAATGGTTCTCTCCCTCCCTAGACTCTGTGCACATAGAAGATGCTGAGGCTGTGGAGCAGCTGCGTGAAGCCCTGCATGAGGCCTTGCTGGAGTATGAAGCTGGCCGGGCTGGCCCTGGAGGGGGTGCTGAGCGGAGGCGTGCAGGCAGGCTGCTGCTTACGCTGCCACTCCTCCGCCAGACAGCAGGCAAAGTCCTGGCCCATTTCTATGGGGTGAAGCTGGAGGGCAAGGTGCCCATGCACAAGCTGTTTTTGGAAATGCTTGAGGCCATGATGGACTGAGGCAAGGGGTGGGACAGGGTGGGGTGGCTGGCAGGATCTGCCCAGCATAGGGTGTTAGCCCCAAAGGGGCAAAGCTGGAGTCTGGGCAGTGCCATAGCCTGCTGGCAGGGCCAGGGCAATGCCATCCGCCCCTGGGAGAAGGCTTCATGCCCTCTCCTCCCCACTTTGGGGGGAGAATTGTCAGAAGCCAGGAAAGTGAATGCCCAGGTGTGGGCACAGTGCTGCCCCTTGCAAGCCATAACGTGCCCCCCAAGAGTGTTGGGGGCCTTGTGGAAGCCATAGGGGGCTGCAGGGGATGTGTAGGAGGCAGAAGCTGATCTCAGGGAGGGAAGGGGATGGAGGCCATAGTCTCCCAGTGGGTGATGCTTTTGCTGCTGCTTACTCCGACCTCCTCTCCAGAGCAGAGAGGGGCTCGGAAAGCAAAGGCCCCGTCCCTTCGCTCCTCTCCTCATTCGCACTGGGCTTTAGTGCCCCCCCTTGAAGCAATAACTCCAAGCAGGCTCCAGCCCCTGGACCCCTGGGGTGGCCAGGGCCCCCTACCAGCTCCCACCTCAAGGGGTGGGGGATAGCACTGCCTCTATGCCCTGCAGAGCAATAACACTATATTTATTTTTGGGTTTGGCCAGGGAGGCGCAGGGCTGTGGGGCAAGCCAGGGCCCAGAGCCCTTGGCTGTACAGAGACTCTATTTTAATGTATATTTGCTGCAAAGAGAAACCGCTTTTGGTTTTGAACCTTTAATGAGAAAAAAAAATATACTATGGAACTCAAGTACATGGTGGTTGGTGACTCACTGGGGGGTTTTGGGGGTCACACATGACACATTAGTTAACAGACTAACAACAGAAACACGGTCACAAAATACCAAAGTGGTGGCTAGCAAGGTTATGTCTCGGTCTCCTCATCATTCAACAGCATATTGGGGATCCCGCGGCTGATGGGGAAAAGACGACCAGATTCTGGGCATTGCAGGGTGCCCTCCAGTACATCAACCTGCGGGGGAGCAGGGCAAAGCTAAGCACAGGGCGTCTCGGTGGGAGGGCTAGGCAGGAGATGCACAAGGATTCTCACCTCAAGCAACACGTGGTGCATCTTCCTCAAAAACGTCTCGTCGTGCTCATAGCCTTCAGTCGGCTCTTTGGGTACCTCAGCCAAGTTTAACTGTGGAAAGGAAGGTTACGTGGGTCAGTGGGCACACAAACACCGAGCCAGCCCCGGCAGGGAAGGGGCCTGGAGCCAAGGCCGCCTCCGAGGCGAGACAGAAGGGGCGGGGTCCTCACGGTGTCCGCTGCCTGCACAAGCGCCGCCCACTCCACTTTGGGGATCATCCGCGCCACGAAGTCGGGGTTGAACTCCACGGGGTTGATGCGGACCTCGGTGGCCTGCGGGGGAAAACGTTTAGGGAGGTAGGCTCGGGTCCCAGAGTTTCCACCCAGAGCTGTAAGGGCGACAAACCTTTGCGCAGTTACCTGCAGGCGCAGCGGGAAGCCACGCGTGCCCACGCCCCGCACATGCGAGCTCAGGAGGTTGTGGGTGAGCAGTTTCATGTCACACGGGAGACCGGGACGCCGGAACCGGAAGGATCCACACTTCTCCTTTGTACCACTTCCGCTGTCGAAGCCGTCGGACACTTCGCCGGGCCGGAAGTGGCGGGGTTAGGGGACCTTTCGGGGCTTTGCGGCAGCCGAGAGATGGGAAGGAGTGTGTTGGGTCGAGTCCTGACACCGGAAGCGTTTCTCGGGGAGACTGTAAAGGTTTACGACGAACCCCGCTCGCTGTAAATCGTACATACTATGCAAATCACATGTAAACCGGCTGCGTTGCGGCGCTCTGGCTGAGTGTAAAACAAGCACATTTGAGGCTTAGCCACATTATCCCCCTACCTCTGTTTTGCGGTTAAGGGTCAGAAACTGTCACATCGGTAAACCAGCCACCTCTTTCTGCATACAGATTAGGCGCGCGACCCCTGGGAGCCCCGCCGCGTCGTCATGCGTCACGGCCCAGCCCCCGTAAGCCGGCGTAGCGGACGCAGCGTGCTGGCGTGGGCGGAGCGATCTCTGCACCCACCTCCTGTGGGCAGAGCCAACTGCGGGTGGGCTGCGGCAGTGAGGCGGGCATGGTACAGCTGGAGCTTCGCTTCTTGAGTAGCGTAGCCGGTTCTGTGCTCGGTTCATCGACTACCTGGACGTGCGCGTTAGGCAGAGCAGGCCGGAAAGGAGCAGGTTGGGAGTGTGGCGGGGCCCGCAGCTTCAGAAGCGCCGCGGTGACCATGGCCCCGATCAAGGTGACCGGTTTTACTTTTGGATCCAACCTATTGCGTCTCTTTGGGTTCCACACGGGGTCTCGGGCTGTCGTCCTTGACGTTTCTTTTTGTCATGCTTTCTGTAAGACCCTGTCTCTGCCTCTCCATCCTGGGACATTTCTTGAGCCGCCCTCTCACACCTATGCCACGTCCAGGGACAAGTCCCCACCATTTTCAAGCGACCGAATGCTAGGTCATTTCCCACATTCTATAAATACCTCTTTTGCCGCTTTTCAAACCCTTTATACCCCTCTCCAAAGCTCCAGCCCTTTTGTGATTATTCTAGACTCCACTTCTCCTCATCTTTTGAAAGAGCTGTGGTCCCTTGGAGACCGGAGTCTGTCTGTCCCACTTCTTTCTCCACTCTGTGAATGCTTCCCCGCCCCCCTTCTGTTTGGTTCTTTTGGGAATTCTTGAATCTATCCCCTCTCCTGTTCTTGGACTTCATTTTTAGAGAAAGAGAGGGAGGAAAGGGAGGGAGGGAGAGAGGAAGGGAAGCAGGGAGGGAGGGAAGGAGAGAGACAGAGAGACTGACTCACTGTATAGTCTTGGCTGGCCTGGAACTTGGTATGTAGACCAGACTGGTCTCAAACTCCTAGAGATCTATCTGCCTCTCAGTCCCAAATGTTAGGATTAAAGGCCCTCAAAAAAAAAAAAAACCACCCAAAACTTTAAAAATATGTACTTAGTGTGTGTGTTTGGTAACAGGCACGTGAATGTGGAGGTCAGAGGAGGGTTTTCTCAGGAGTCAGTTCTGTCTTTCTGCCATGTCGGTTGTGGGGATAGAACTCAGGTGATCAGGCTTGGCGGTGGACACCTTTACCTACTCACCTCTTCCTTCCTTTCATTTCCTCTTATGCCTCCAGGAAGCCTCCAGGTGGGCTGACACTTCCCTCCCACCCTCCAGAGCCTGCATCCTGATGCCTAGGCGTCTTCCCTGGTTTCCCAACATTTTTCTCCTGGTGTGTGGATGGGATTTGTCTCCTTCCCTGTTGCCAGGCAGTTTCTCAACCCCAGACACAGCCCTCTGTACTTCTCCTCTGTGCATTGATCCATCTTGGGTGGCTTGTTTACACACCATTGCAACACTTGAGAAGGCCTCTCCCTTTTTCTGTTGCCACCAACTGGCCTTAATCAGGATTTGAAACATGTAGGATGTGGGGCAGGCGGGATATACAAGAGAGTGAGGACAGAAATGGACCCCTGGAACCAGACAGGCACTTTCTCTGCTGGGTGTAAACACTGGCTCTATCTGTCCGGCTGTGGTTTACTGGGCCTCTCTTTACTCCATTTTATCCTGGAGTCCTTTTCTCCAGGTGGGAGATGCCATTCCCTCAGTGGAGGTATTTGAAGGGGAACCGGGAAAGAAGGTGAACTTGGCAGAGCTGTTCAAGGGCAAGAAAGGTGTTTTGTTTGGAGTCCCTGGGGCGTTTACACCTGGCTGTTCTAAGGTGAGTCTTCTCCTTTCCAGAGTCACTGGGACCAGGAGTGTGGGAGAAAAGGACCCTAGTTAGATCTGATAGCTCTGATTGATGCCGCTGGCGCAAGTGCTGTAAAAATCCCGTGGGACTTGGGCTAATGAGACAGAAGCTTGCCTATGGGATTTCATGGTCTTGACCAGAGACACTTAGGTCCAAGCTTCCAGTAGCCAAGGCAAAAAGGAAGTGGCAGGTTTCACCCTGGTTTCCTTACCCAGATCAGGGATGTTAGGAAATAGGAGCAGGCTGAGAAGTGCCAGCAATTGTCACTCTTTTGACCTTTTGTCTTCCTCTTAGAGCCACCTGCCTGGGTTTGTGGAGCAAGCTGGAGCTCTGAAGGCCAAAGGCGCGGAGGTGGTGGCCTGTCTAAGTGTAAATGATGTCTTTGTGACTGAAGAGTGGGGTCGAGCCCACCAGGCAGAAGGCAAGGTGAGGTGTGGGTCCCATGAGGGGCGGGCCAGGTAGGAGGTTTTCTTGTTTCTTATTACGTTCTATTTACTCCTTTTGTATGTGGGGTGGGCACTTGTGCCATCGTGCACAGGTAGAAGTCAGAGGATATCCTGAGACTGGGTTCTCTCTTACCACGTGGAGTCATAGGGATTGAACTCAGGTTGCCAGATTTGGCAGCAAACACCTTCACCCACTGAGCCCTCTCATTGGAGATTTCTTGTGACGTTTATTCTCTTTCCTTCAGGTCCGACTCCTGGCTGACCCCACTGGAGCCTTTGGGAAGGTGAGTGTACCACTCCTCCATCAGCCTGCAGTTGGTCCTGGAGGGACATGTGGGGGTTCCTGACACCCATCTCTGCCTGTCCCCTAGGAGACAGACTTATTATTGGATGATTCTTTGGTGTCTCTCTTTGGAAATCGTCGGCTGAAAAGGTAAAGTAGAGCTCCTCCCCCACCCCCTGTTGGCACTAGGGTCCTGGCTGCTGCCCGTGCTGCTGCATCTGTACCTCTTTCTGCCAGGTTCTCCATGGTGATAGACAACGGTGTAGTGAAGGCACTGAACGTGGAGCCGGATGGCACAGGCCTCACCTGCAGCCTGGCCCCCAACATCCTCTCACAGCTCTGAGGCCCTGGCCAGATGTCCTCTGACTCCCATCTCCCCCACCCGGCTCTGGGCCAAAAGGTCCAGTACCTCCTTACGGGGGACCACTTAAATGGAACCTTAACCATATTTCTGCAATAAACAGTTTAATTTGTGTCTTTGCCTCTGGCATGGAATTGTCTGCTTCACCATTTCTCACGAGTAGACATAGATAGAGCTGAAGTCATTGGCAGGGGTTTGGAGGAGAAAATAGAGAGACAGCCAGGACAGGCTTCTGGAAGGTAGCATCCGCTAAATCAGCCTGAAGCTGAGAGGAAGCCAGAGTTGGCTTTGCTTGGTACATCCTGGGACAGCTGGTGCTTGGTCTCGGAGCTGGCAGATTCCATTGACGCTTAATACACAGGGCAGGAAGCTTTGCTTCAGGCCTCCCATCTTTCCGATTGCAGTTCCTCCAGGAGCACCCTGGCTCTGACTTGGCTTCATCAGAGCACACAGTACCAGGCTCAGCACTGGAGACTTCCTGAAGGAGGAGCCTTGGAGAGGCGTGGCCAGTGATGAGTGAGACTGAGGGCCAAGAGCTGGGGTCACCAGTGAGGCTTGGGGCCTCAGGAGATCCTGCTCCTGGCCTTTGGAATCCATATTCAGGGGAGCAGTGGGGTATTGTTGGGAAGCCCTTGTGTTTAGGAGGATGTACTCCGACAGATTCTTGCAGAGCACCTGACTGATCTGTGTAGACATAGTGAGGTATATACCAGGCCTGTCCAGTGCTCTGGACCAAACGAGCTCTGCAGCAGGCAGATGATGGGAGACCAGGCCTGGAAGACCAGGGAGGAAAAGGCCTGGTACCTGAAAGGAGCCTAAGGATGGGAGTGGCAGACATGCGTCAGGTTGAGCTGGAAAGGCAGGACTGGCCCAGGTATAGCAGGCACTGGGGCTACTTGCTGAGGCTGTCTAGTAGTCAGTAGGAGTTGAGGCCTCTGAGAGCGATAAGACCTTGCCTCCAGCCTCCCCAGTCAACCACGGGGCTTCTGCAGGGCACAGGGCAGATTCTAATCTGAGCCAGTGCTTGAAGCTGGGAGCCAGGAAAGGCATGGAAAGATCTGTGATGGGGTGGCAAGCAAAAAGCACTGGGGCAGGTGAGAGGCCTCTGTGGTGACACTGGGCTCTCCTACTAAGGGACCCACAATTCAGCTACCTGAGTGGCCAGTGCACCCATCTTTTCTGATATTCTCTAATCCCACTCACCGGCCCTTGAATCACTGGCCAATTCTGGTCTGTCCTCTTTTGAAGCTTGGGTTACAGTGACCCTGACAGGCACGGTCCAGGGAGACGTGTTCCTGCCCAGGTCCCATCTCTCAGGTCTTTGGAGAAGCTAAGGAGCAGGGTTTCCTGGCAGGGTGTGGCCAGTGCAGAGCCCTGGCCTCTTCTTCCCTGAAGCTCACACTGCCTCCGTAGTCAGTCACTGTCACAGGTACAAACTCCCGTTTCTCACCCGCTGCCTGGCTTTCCCCATTCTTGTAAGACCTCTAAAGAAGTGTCCTCTCCTGAGTCTCTTGCTGATGCCTGGGTCTTGGCTAGAGAAAGGAGTTTAAAGGTTCCCTGTGGCGCCTTAGCCTTGTGGGAGGCTGGGAGGCCTGCGTGCACAGCACCTGGGCTGGTGGAATGTCTGGCAGTTGAGCCAGCTCTGGAGCAGCTACAGGTCTCTCAGGAGAATAATACCTGTCAGGAAAATGCAGTAAGGCTGGGCTTCAGGCCTAAGGTAAGGCTAGCCAGGCCTGAGGCTGCACCTGGAAGAGGAACTGGCACCTTTCCTGGACTGTAGAGACCAAAGGGCCAATATTAAAACCAAACAGTTGAACAAAATGTCCTAAAAGAACCTATGCACACACTGGCCTTGTGCTGCTGGAAAGTCTAAGGGTCAGCCATTAAGAAGAGAGGTTTGGGGCTGGAGAGAGGCTCAACGGTTAAGAGCACTGGCTGAACTGCCAAGGCACCTGGGTTCAATTCCAGCTCCTACATGATAGTTCACAACCAGTCCTAACTCCAGTTCTAGGGCTTCTGACGCCCTTCTCCAGCATTCATGGGCACCAAACCCCTGTGCATAGACATATTTGCAGGCAAACCACCCATGCTTTTAAAATAATAAAGAAAAAAACTCAAGCATGGTGGCTTATGCTTACTTTTTTTTTCTTTCTTTTTTTTTTTTTTCTTTTTTTGGTTTGGTTTTTCGAGACAGGGTTTCTCTGTGTAGCCCTGGCTGTCCTGGAACTCACTCTGTAGACCAGGCTAGCCTCAAACTCTCGAACTCAGAAATCCACTTGCCTCTGCCTCCCAAGTGCTGGGATTAAAGGCATGTGCCACCACCACCCGGCGGCTTATCCCTTTAACCCCAGCACTCAGGAGGTAGAGGCAGACAAACCTGATCAACAGATTAAGTTCCAGGACAGGGCAGGGCTGTTACACAGAGAAACTGTGACTCAAAAAACCATAATAAATAAATAAATGAATAAATAAATAGGAAGAGGAAGATGGAGAGGAGGAAGAGGAAGAGGAGAAGAAGGAAGAGAGAAGCGTGGCCTCAACTTCACACTGCACTGTGATGGTCTTAAACTCATCATCCTGTTTACCTTCAAGTGCTGGAACTGTAGGTGCTATCTCTACGTCATGCTCACCTTCTCTTGTTATTGTTAAACAAGGTCCCACTGTGTGCCCCAGGGTGTCCTGTAACTCTCTATGTAGCCCAGGCTAGCCTAGAACTTGAGTTCTGCCTGCCTCTGCCTGCCAAGTGCTGGGATTACAGGTATACAACACCATACCCCACCCAACACACTCTGTGTGTGTGTGTGTGTGTGTGTATGTGTGTATGTATGTGTGTGAAAGAGAGAGAGAGAGAGAGAGAGAGAGAGAGAGAGAGAGAGAGAGAGAGAGAGAGCTGCTACTGTAGCACCCAGGCCAGCAATCCTCCTGCTTCAGTCTGGTATTCCAAACATGAGGTACCACTCTAGGCTAGAGATGGTCCTTCAGTTCTGTGGCCTGTCCCATGGTGAAAGGCGGAAGGGGCAGCGAGTGAGCTAGTTTGCCGCTTTGCTTTCAGAACAAATTCATTCTTGTAATGTAAAACATGCAGCCACCCACCAGGCTGGGCTGTGTAACCTGGTCACCTACCTTCCTTAGTCCAATGTTCCTCCTCTGCTGCATCAGTGACCAAGTGTCCAGAACGTAAACTAGCCGACACATTAAAACCATAGCACATCCCACATGACCAGCCAGAACCAGAGCACCTGGAACCCCAGGGCCAATGTTTAAGTCAACAATTGAGGTACTTGGCTCTTCTGGGTTGAGTCTCTTTCATATGCTACTGAATAGACACCGCATAGTCCCAAGGCCTCCAGGAGACCTCAAGTCCTTCCACAAACCCACAGGCAGGCCTACCTGAAAGGCATTGCAGCAGTGGGATCCTCAGGTTTGGGGCTTCGACTTCAAGAGTATGAATCATAATCAGCTACTAGATGTTAGTGTCCATGCCCAATCTGGTTTTCTAGGACTACATTTTCTTTATCCTGAAAGAGCTGGCAAGACAGCTTAGTGAGTAAAGGTGCTTGCTGCTAAGCCTCATGACTTGAGTTTGATCCCTGGGACCAAGATGGTAGAAGGAGAGAACCAATTCACAAAAGTTGTTCTATAACCTATATAGGCACATCATGGCACGTGCATACGGCCCCCCATGAATGAATGAATGAATGAATGAATGAATGAATTTCACAAATGAGAAAAAAAAAAAAAAGAAATGATCTAGGTCACCTCACAAAGTTGGTGTGGCCAATGAGATGACTTCTGAAGCAAGTGCCACTTTACCTAACACACAGCAGATCGTGGGAGCACACATGCATTCATGCCTCTGTCTGTCTGTTACTGGGGATGGGATTCAAGGTGTATCTTGAGTTAAACCCTCTATTGTTGAGTTATATTTACAGATCGACAAATGCTTTTTGTTTGTTTGGCTTTGGGGACAATTTTTGTGTGTGTATGTTTGTGTGTGTTGTTGATGTTGTTGTTTTGTTTTCTTTTCTTTTTCTAGACAGGGTCTCACTGCATAGCCCTGGCTGTCCTGGAATTCACTATGTAGACCAGACTAGCCTCAAACTCACAGAGACATGCCTGCCTCTGCCTCCCTACTGGTGGGACTAAAGGCAAGTGCTACTACCCCCAGCAGGGGACAAGTTTTTGTTATATAGCTCAGGTTGGACTGGAATTCACAATCCTGTATCAGCTCCTTGAGTGGTGGAATTGTAAATGCGTACTATCGTGTCTAATTCCCCCACCAAAAAACAGGCTTTTAAGAAATCAATAAAGACTCCCCCCTATACCTAAGACTCAGGGATACCAAGGAAGAGGGGGCAGAAAGATTGTAAGGGCCTGAGGACCAGGATGTCTCTGTGAGATCCTGTTTCCTAGAATTGACAGGGAAAGTACACTCATGACACCGCAACCGTGCAGCTGTCTAAATATAAGGCCTAAACTACGGCACCAAGGGACATGCTGACGTGTAAGAGGGAAGTCTCACGGGCCACACCCTAGACAAAGAACTATGGCAACTAATGACTGCCGAGAAGTCATCTTCTCCAGGAAGGTGTCCTCTAATTGATTACTCAATTAGTCCTAAAATCATACACTTACAAGCCACACTGAACAGACTCAACAGGTTGTATAATATATACTTTTATATGCATATATGTATTTAGTAATAGTCTCAGTTAGGATTTCATTATTGTGAAGAGTCACCATGACTAAGGCAACTCTTATAAACACTTAATTGGGGCTGTCTTACAGTTTCAGAGGTTTAGTCCATTATCATCATGGTGGGAAGGAAGTGTGGCAGCATCCAGGCAGACATAGTACTGGAGAAGCCAAGAGTGCCACATCATGATCTGAAGGCAGCCAGAAGCAGACTGTCTTCAGCAGGCAGCCAGCAGGAAGATCTCATCCTTATTGGGCAGAGCCTCAGCGTAGGGGGAAACCTCAAAGCCTGTCTACACAGTGACACACTTCCTGCAACAAGGCCATACCTCCCAACAGTGTCACTTCCCACAGGCCAAGCGTATTCAAACCACAGCAATAACTAAAGAAAAAGAGTCCGTGAATTTGAGAGGAAGGGAGATATGGAAGGGG